GGTTGAACAAAACGAGACGGACAAGCAACAACAGAATGACCTGGGGAATGACATATTTGGCAGACAACAGGAGGAGGGACGGAACCAAAAATATTCTCAACCAATGGAAATCCTGCAGAGCCATAGTTAGTACAAAAAGTAAATAGAGCAAGAGTATAAGACAATGACCGGACTGAATTACATAAAACTGTACCCGGTGAACCCATCGGATGTGGCTGCATGGGACCGCACTCGTACACCCCAGACTGCTGCCCGGCTCCCTAAAACTGCTGCGGCTGGCCTACATGCTGTGGTCCCGCGTACTGCTACTGCCCGAAAGACTGGTGGTAATGCTGCCCTCTGCTGCGGCCTCGACCACGGCCTCGCTGGCCTCGTCCTCCGTGACCCCCGCGCCCACTGCGCTGAAACTGCTGCTGTCCGCTAGAGGATGACGGACCCCCGCACCCACTGCTGCAGCACCCCCGGATGAAGAAGAAGCGGCAAAGGCAGGGGATCCAACAATGGATTCCAACCATTGTTGTAACTGAAGGCGACCCTCTTGTTGAACAAGTTTGGTGCATAAAGAATCAAACGTGAGGCCTTCGGGAAACAAGGTGAGTGGCCCCACAAGTGATTCATAACCCGGACTCAATCCCATAAGAGCATATTCCAAGAGATCATGATTGGGGACTGGCGAATTAATGGAGGCTAAATTTTCAGCAATGGTCCGGAGTTCGCCTAAATATTGATCCATGGTTTGATTTGGCTTTTTCTTGGTATGGGTTAACATTTGTTTCAATTCCATGAATCTGGCCAGACTGGCTGCTATAATATGGATTCTAATCTCTGCCATATGACATTCGAATTTTTCAACGGGTGAACTTCCATTAGAATTTCCCTAGACAACGTAGCAAATAACCAAGAACGAACAGTCTGGTCTAGTTTCAGCCAGTGGTAGTACTCCGGATTAATACTTTGGGTTTGATATAAATCATAAGAATAAGGAGACGGAGCCGGAAGGGAACCATCAAGAATACCCAAAAGTCCGTGTGCGACCAAAAAGGACTCAAATTGAGTACGCCACGGTAAATAATCTTCTACCTTCAACAATTTAATTGTAACGATGGTAGTGATAAAAGAAGCACCAAAACCCATAACTTGTGCAAGAGTAGCATATGACGTAGGTAACGTCACTGTTGGAGACCGAGTACCAATCGGACCGGCGGTAGAAGGCGGTAAAACCAGTCCCGCCGGTTGACCCGAGAGAGTTATGCCAGCAAAACGATGACTCCCGGCAAAGCTGGATTCTGTAATATTTGGGTCGTGGGGCTGCAGCGCACGAAGCTTCGGGACTGTCGGAGTCCACGTAAAAATTTAGGGACCCACGTGGAAGAAAAGCCGGTTAAAGAGATCGACGAAAAAGGCTGCTCGTCGGTGAAGGACGGCGCCATGATGCCGGAGGAGATCAGCGGCTCGGTGTCTGCCGCGCTCGTGGTCAGGGGCTCCATCACCGGCGGTGGTCCGGCGGCAGTGATGGTAGAGTCGGCGGCGGCAGAAGTGGCGTGAGGGGAGGAGGCCATTGATCTGAAAAAGAAATTATAACTGACTAAAACCTAGAGCTCTCGATACCATGTGAGAATAATTGGGAGGCTTACCAATGTGGTTGCCCTAGATGTCATATGTATAATAAAAGGTGTTCTGAGTACATTAGGAAACATACAAAATATGGAAACCTAATTAAATTATTAATTACTCTGTTAGATCTGTCATATGTTCATTAATTACTGGTGCACTACTATAGACCGGGGATGAAAGACTAGACGCTATTATAATATTACAATGAATGTAAAAAGATTTTTGAGGAAAAACGGTCTTGGTTCCCTATTACTGCTGATGTTAATGTTAAGAGTGTGCAAGAACAAGAGGAGCGGACATTTGTTCATGGGGTTTTGGCTGGGCTTGGTCCACAATATGAGGTATCAAGGAGTCAAATACTGTATAGTGGGACCCTTCCTAGTTTTTCTAACCTCTATGGATGTCTCCTTCCGGTGTGCGAAGATGGAGAATCCAGAATGATGAACTTGATTGATACTGCTGCCTTAGTCAGTGATGTGAGCCGTGGTAGAAGGACCAATTCAGTCGCTACTGAGGGGACTCGTAATTCTTCTCGCACATGTTATCACTGTGGAGTTGAGGCTTGAGGGTCATGTCAAGAAGAATTGCATGGAAATTACATGGTTGTCCACCACTGACATCTAGACAATTTCCTCCTAGGCGTGTTGCTAATACGGTTATCTAGGATGGTATCTTACCGACTCCTTCCACCGTTACTATCTCAGCCGATGAATATGCTCGACAACAACTTTCTCTCACAGCTTCATCCGCCACTCCACAAGTTGATATAGGTATTCCTGCTGCATGCCTCTACATCATCACACAATTGGGTGATTGACTCTGGCGCAACTGACCATATGACTGGTAATGAAAATATTTTGTCTTCTTTTACGTCTTCTGCCAACCAGTCTCACGTTACTTTAGCAAATGGATCAACCGCATCTGTCAATGGCCTTGGAACAACAACTCCTTCTCCAAACCTTTCTCTATCTTCTGTTTTATATTTATCTCAATTTCCGTTTGATTTAATCTCACTCACTCAGATTACTAAAGCCGTAAACTGTTGTGTTATTTTCTTTCCCACCCATTGTCTTTTTCTGGATCTTGGGACGAAGCAGATTATTGTTAAAGGCAGATTGGTTAATGGCTTATATGTTTTTGAATCCTTGGTGTCGAGATCAGTTGCATGCACACGTTCGTCTCTGTTGAAAGTTCACTGTCAATTTGGTCCAGGATATGTGATCCCAGGTCGCAAAACTTGATCCCTGGGTTTTTCTGGGTTATTCCCTATTACACAAAGGATATCGATGTTATTCTCCTTTACTGGGATGGTATATTATCTCTACAGATGTCACATTTTTTGAAGAAACACCTTTCTCTCAGCATAGTTCATCTTCATCCCCTTCTTTTGAACTCTCTAATGATGAGTTTCTAATCTGTACTATCAGCCAGCCAGAATCTATCCCCCCAGTGAGATTTGCCCATCAACTTTCCTACCTCCCCTATCTACTCCGCTTAAAGTTTATTCTCGTCGTGTGCGCCCTGTGATTACGACACCTACTATGGCTACCAGTGTACCACCATCATCTTCTGCTTCGCTTCTAGATTTTGCTCCCTCCGACCTTGATCTCATTTGTTACTTATAATGCATTGTCACCTTCTTGCAAGAGCTTTGTTGCTTGTTTAGATTCTATTGTTGTTCCTTCAACTGTTTCTGAGGCCTTGGCTCATCCTGGTTGGCAAGAGGCAATGTGAGAGGAGATGATGGCTCTCGATCAGAATCACACATGGGACCTTGTATATCTTGCACCTGACAAGAAAGCTAGTGGGTGTAAATTGGATGTTCACTGTCAAAAATGAATCCTGATGATTCTGTTGCTCATTTAAAGGTATAGATTACTTTGACACTTTCTCTCATGTTGCCAAACTTACATCCATTCGATTGTTTATCTCTTTGGCTGCTGCTTACAATTGGACACTCCATCAACTTGATTTTAAAAATGCCTTTTTGAATGGTGACCTTAGCAAGGAAGTATACACCAGGGTTTCTTGCTCAGGGGGAGTTTGGAAAGGTATGTAAATTAAGGAAATCGTTATATGGTCTGAAACAATCCTCACAAACTTGGTTCGGCCGTTTCAGTGCTGCAATATTTAAATTTGGCCTGCGCAGGAGTGCCTATTAGTTGTGTGTGTTGATGATATCATGATCACAGGCAGTGATGCGAGTCGTATTTTGAAACTGAAAGCTTTCTTGCTCCTTGCTTTCAGACCAAAGATCTTGGTCCCTTGAAGCACTTCTTAGGGATAGAAGTCTCACGTAGTAATAAGGGAACTTATTTGTCTCAAAGAAAATACTGCCTAGATGTGCTAAATGATGCAGGTTTGGTTGAGGCAAAACCGTGTGATGCTCCGATGATCCCAATTAGCAGATGTGTTCACAAAGGCTCTACTGGGGACACGTATCAGTTTTATTTGTACCAAGTTGAGCATGATTAATATCTATGCTTCAGCTTGAGGGGGAGTGTTAGAATATACATATTTAATAGTCAATATATTCTATATATATATATATATATATGGTAGCTAATATATTCTCTGCGATAGACTAAATATTCTATGTAAATCTGGCAGAATTAGTTTTCTTTTGCATTCTTTAGCTTGAAGTATTTATTCTGGCTATACCCAATGATAATAAACTGTGATTTCATTGCATCCTTAATTTCGATTACTCAGTTTACACTATTTATGTAGTCAACGCAATCCCTTTTTATTATCTGATTTTGTGTTTCATTTTTCCTCATATTTGAATTCAGTTTCTGCGTTCAAATATTTTAAGTGTAGGCTTTAAATATGTAAATTTAATTACTCGTTTAATTTAAATATTACTAGGAGAGTAAACATTAACTTCAATGATACCTTGTAATCTGAAACTGGCAAAGGAAATAGGAATGGGGGAATTGATACATGTGTGTAGGGAGGGTTTTAGCAAAAACTAGTTTTCCATGAAAATGAGAATATATCTATGTCCCTAAAAAACTCACTTCATCCCAAAAATTTCTTCCATTTTGGTAGTGAAATTGTATGCTTGTGGTTGATGTAAATAGGAGAGAAACAATATGGATTAGATCGAATTTTCAACTGTACTTTGAGCATTACTGTTTGTTTGAGGGGTTATGGCTTGATAAAATGTTATTTCTCCTAGCAGTTGTAACTTTAAGGATTGATTGTGTTCATTAGTGATCTTATAGCTTATAAAGTGAATTAGTATTGAATTGATATATTATTACGACCTCATTGAAAATACATTCAACATAGATTCTTTTGTCATTTGATTTCAATTTGAATTGCATCTTGCATCCTTCTTCATTCCTATATGTTGACTGACATTAATATAAAAAATATTGTAGGGTTCTAGTGGAAGCCATTCAAGGTGCTGGTATGCCTTTTGTTTTTTTATGAATATATGTCATTTTGTATTTTGTGGTTGAGTGTTCTCTTGGATCCCTGCAGATAGAACATTGAATCCAATCCCTTAAACATTTAGTAGCCAGTTTACGAAATATGTTCACTATAGGTCTTTGTAATATTTGAATGTTTGTAGGATGGCAATGTGGTCCAAATGACAGTTATACATGATGATACACATTCACATTGCCTCAGCATATCAAGAGAGGACAAAGCATATAGAATTTGATTCACTTAATTTGAAAAAGATGATTTTGTACAAGATTCGTTAACTTTGCTAGTCATCATTGAGATATATTAATGAAATCATGTAGTGGATCGAGATTTAGGCATATCTATAATAAGCTTTGTGCATATGATTTATGATTTATTAGCTTGAGCTTGAGGGAGTGTTGAGGTAACCCTAATGATAGGGGGCTTAGCCCTTTTATATATGATACTGCGTATCTTATAAATAGAAAGTTTTTTTGTGCACTTTGACAAATCTAAGATATATATTCTCCTAATTTTACAGGTTTCAAGTGACATTTCAATATTTCATACTTTTTCACAGTTAATCAGTTAGCTCTAATAACTTGGGCATCTTTTGTTGCAGTGACAATGGAAAAGATTCCCTCCGTGGCTGTGAAAGTAATATGGTGCATACATTCAATAGTACCTCCGATCAACAAAACGCGATAGTGGGCAAGGATAAATTTCATGGTATTAATTTCTCATGTTGGACATGAATATATGATACTTCTCCATGCATTTGAATGCCATTTTACTTGTGTCTTGGTTAATTGTAAACATGTTGAATTTTGAATATATATTCAACCACAGTGATATGTTTGTCGACGATATTGTATTGATTGATGAGACGCAATCAGGTCTTAAAGCAAAGTTGGAAGTATGGCGACAAACATTGGAGAACAAGGGTTTCAAACTAAGTCAGAGCAAGACACAGTACATGAAGTGGAAATTTGGTGGAGGTAGAAGCATTGGTAATAGTGGAATTACTCTAGATGGTAAGGAGATACCGGTCAGTGATATGTTCCGTTACTTGGGCTCCATAATTCAGAAGGACGGTGAGTTAGATGGAGATGTATCCCATAGAATCAGAACAGGGTGGATGAAGTGGAAGAGTGCGTCAGAATTTCTATGTGATAAAGGTATGCCGACTAGACTGAAGAGTAAATTTATAGGACGGCAATTAGGCTTGCATTGCTGTATGGCGTAGAGTGTTGGGCGGTGAAACAATGTCACATTCAAAAGATGAGTGTGGCGGAGATGCGCATGTTGCGTTGGATGTGTGAGCATACTAGGAAGGACCACGTGTGAAATGAGACAATCAGACAAAGGGTGGGTGTAGCACCTATTGAAGACAAGATGCGGGAGTCTCGCCTACGGTGGTTTGGTCATGTGCGTAGAAGACCGAGTGATGGACCTGTCAGACGTGTTGAGATGTGTGGAGAAGAGGTAGGGAAGAGAGGGAGAGGAAGATCCAAACAGACGTGGGTTAGGGGAGTCTGCAGTGATATGCTTCTTATTGGGTTGGATGAGGGTATGGCTTTGGAGAGAGCAAAGTGGAGGGCGGGTATTCCTGTGGAGGAGTGATCTCGTATTATGTTTTCCCCTCATCTTTTTTCTTCTTGTTTTTTATTCTTTTATCCTTATATATTTTTTTTTTTTTATCTTTTATCCTTATATATATAAACATTATTTTTATCTTTTTTATTTTATTATTTTTAGGTATATTCATCTCGTTTTATATTATCTTTTTATAATAGCTTATTTTTTATCTTTATTTTCTTTCTTTTCCTTTTGGTGGTGATATCATGTATCGATTCATGTTAGCCGACCCCAATTTCTTTTATGACTAGGGCTTGGATGTTGTTGTATTCAGCCACAGTGATATGTTGTATTTTACTAGTGTTTCTCAGTTAACTTAACCATGTAGAAGTAGGGGTAATATAATGTACTAAAGGGTGTACTACTAAATATTAATTGCATAGTCTCCTATAATTATAAACATAAGATAAAGCTAACATGGGGTTAACGTTAGTTGGGCTGTGCTACAACAGATAGGTTTAGTATTTAATAATCATTTGAAGATGGGGCGTAATATGCACCTACCTTGTCTCTAACATTATCAGCTCTTGGAAATCGCCGCCAATCAATAAGCGGAATCGGCAAAGCTCTTGTTGATGCATCCAGACAGATCTTTTCCCCTCATAAAAGAATGAGGTTCTGGTTATAGTGTTGTGTGTGGCTCCGGCAGCAAGAAGTGGAGAACATTAAGCTAAACGCTAGAAGATTTGTGTCAGCAAAATGACACCACAGGTACCAATGACGACAAAAAAGGACATCGTGAGAAGAAGATTTGATGATGAAACAACATTTTCAGCACTTAGAGTGCACATTTGTGGCTGGTGGCATTGTGCCTTGTGTTTTCTCAGGATATAATTAAGATAAAGCTTACGTTGAATATTGATTAAACCAACACCAGAGGAGTTTTTGAACAAGAAGGCATTGCGGTGTTAGCGGTTCATACCAGAAATTCTGCGTGAAGAGGAGAACATAAGAGGAGAACATAAGTATTAGCAATGCTAGGTGTTGAAATATAAACTACAAAATATAATATTGAAGAGAGGAGGAAAGATTTTCTGTGTATTTCATTGGAGGGTTAAGTCCCTATAAATATACATTACAAAGATAGAATATTCCTATAAGATTCTATACAATAATAATATCCTAGAGTATATTCCTAAAATATTCTAAAGTATATTCTAAGGATAGAAGAATATTCTAAAGTATATTCTAAAGTATATTCTAATGTCTTTCACACTCCCCCTCAAGTTGGAGCATAGATATTTATCATGCCCAACTTGTTACATAAATAACCAACACGAATTCCATTTAATGCTTTAGTGAACAAATCTCCAAGTTGCTCTCCAGTCTTCACATATCCTGTAGAGATCAATCCTTGTTGTATCTTTTCTCGAACAAAGTGACAATCGACCTCAATATGTTTTGTTCTCTCATGAAACACTGGGTTGTTGGCAATGTGTATAGCAGCTTGGTTATCACACCAGAGTTTAGCAGGCATTGGTGTCTTCAATCCGATTTCACTCAGCAAATGGTTTATCCAGATTATCTCACATGCCGATTGTGCCATAGCCCGATATTCTGATTCAGCACTCGAACGAGAAACCACATTTTGCTTCTTACTTTTCCAAGAGACGAGATTACCACCAACAAAGACGCAATAGCCAGATGTGGATCTCCTATCATCTTTAGATCCAGCCCAATCAGCATCTGCAAAGCATTCTATTCTCATGTGATCATGATTTTGGTAAACAATACCTCGTCCTGGTGTCCCCTTCAAGTAACATAATATATGCTCTACTGCATTCCAATGATCAACTGTCGGAGATGACATATATTGACTCACTACGCTCACAGAGTAAGCAATGTCTGGACGAGTGACTGCGAGATAGTTAAGCTTTCCAACCAATCTTCTGTACCTTTCTGGGTCTTCGAATGGTATGCCTTCTGAAGTGAGTTGCACATTGGGAACCATGGGAGTTGTGTTTGGCTTTGCTCCCAATTTCCCCGTTTCAGTTAGTAAATCAAGTACATATTTACGCTGAGATAGAAATATGCCTTTCTTACTCCGTGTTACCTCAATACCCAGAAAGTATTTCAATGAGCCTAGGTCTTTTGTTTGGAATTGGCTATGAAGAAAATTCTTAAGGGCCAAAATACCTGCGGTATCACTTCCTGTAATCACAATATCATCGACATACACCACAAGCAATGTGATACCTGCTTTCGTTTTTCTGTAAAAGACAGAGTGATCTGATTGACCTTTTATCATTCCAAACCGTTCAATGGATTGACTGAATTTCCCAAACCATGCACGAGGACTCTGTTTCAGACCATAAAGAGATTTGCGAAGTCGACAAACTTTCCCATACTCCCCCTGAGCAACAAATCCCGGAGGTTGCTCCATATAAACTTCCTCCTGAAGGTCACCATGTAAGAATGCATTTTTAATGTCCAACTGGTGTAAGTGCCAATCATGAGTTGCAGCGAGTGAGATAAGTAACCTGACAGATGTTAATTTAGCAACAGGAGAAAAAGTGTCAGAATAATCAACACCATAGGTTTGAGCATAACCCTTTGCAACCAATCGAGCTTTCAATCGAGCAACAGATCCATCTGGATTAACCTTAACAGCAAAGACCCACTTACATCCAATAGACTTCTTCCCTGAAGGCAAGTATACCAAATCCCAAGTACCATTAAGATCCAAAGCATTCATTTCCTCTACCATGGCATGTCGCCATTCAGGATGAGACAAAGCTTCTTTAACAGATTTGGGAACAGAAATAGAATCAATGGAAGCAACAAAAGAACATGAGGCAGGAGATAACTGACTGTATGACACAAATGAGGAAATAGGATGAGTACAAGACCGTGTACCTTTACGTAGTGCTATCGGGAGGTCAAGATCAGATGTAGAGACAAGATCTGAAGATGCAGGTACTGGTTCAGGACATGAGATCGAAGTCGGACCAGTATCAGGATATGTAATCACAGGTGTCACAGGTGGGGAGTGATCTTGTGCTTTGTGTCGACGGGTGTAAACCAAGTGTACAGGAGGTCTAGGGTCAGGAACAGTGACATTCGACATAGTTACTGAAGGTGTGGTCTCAGGTATAGTAACTGTGTAAATGAGTATTTCATCGTTGTCCTCATGAATATCTGTCTTGGATGATGAAAATGGTGTATTTTCATGAAATGAGACATCAATAGAAATAAGATATCGACCTGTACTTGGACAAAAACATCTATACCCCTTTTGAACTCGAGAATAACCCAAGAAAATACATTTCAATGACTTGGGGTCCAATTTCGTCCGATGAGGGTTAACATCTCTAACAAAACAAGTGCAACCAAATATTTTAGGTGGAATAGGAAAAAGTTCTTTATTTGAAAAAAGACATTGATAAGGAGTTTTACCATCCAAAACAGAAGATGGCATACGATTGATCAAAAAACATGAAGTAGACACAGCGTCAGCCCAAAACTGTTTAGGCACATTCATTTGGAATAGAAGAGCCCTTGCAGTTTCTAACAGATGTCGATTCTTTCTTTCAGCAACTCCATTTTGAGGAGGTGTGTCTACGCATGAAGTTTGATGAATAATGCCATGTTGAAGCATAAAAGATTTAAATGGAGCAGATAAATATTCTTGGGCATTGTCTCCCCTTAACACACGAACAGGAACATTAAATTGAGTTTTAATTTCAGCACAAAATGCAGAGAAATGAGTAAATAACTCGGATCGGCGCTTCATAAAATACACCCATGTCATACGAGAATAATCGTCAACAAAAGTGACAAAATATTTGAAACCAGGTTTGGACACAACTGGACATGCCCCCCAAACATCAGTATGGACAAGATCAAACGGAGCATTTGCTCGTTTATTAAGTCGGGGACTTAAACTAGTGCGATGATGTTTAGCAAACTCACACGACTCACATTGTATAGAAGACACCTTATTAAACTGAGGATATAATTGCTTCATTAGTGAGAGAGATGGATGTCCTAATCGGTAATGAGCTTCTAATAGATTTCCAACCCCAAGGCAAGAGATACCTTTTGTAATTGATGTATCCAAAATATAAAGACCACCCGACTCATGTCCTTGACCAATAGTATGCTTCGTTAACAGATCCTGAAACACACAATATCCCGGAAAAAATGTTACAGAACAATTAAGAGTACGTGTGATTTTACTGATGGAAAGCAGATTAAATGCAAAATTAGGAAGACTCAAAACAGACGATAATGGTAATGTAGAAGTTGGTACAACAGTACCAGATCCAAGAACGGGTGAGGTAGACCCGTCTGCTAAAGTGACACTGGAAGCAGGTAAATGTGAGTGAAATGATGAGAATAGACTAGGATTACCAGTCATATGATCTGTGGCACCTGAGTCAATGACCCATTTTGAGGATGATGAAACAAGACATGTGTTTGAAATACCTGAATTTGCGACTACCGAGATAGGGGTAGATGAATGCTTTAGAGATTCTTGGTAGCAAATAAATTTAGCATACTCGTCTGAAGAAATAGCAATTGATCCATCAAATGAACTCGTAGCGGAAGCAACATGAGCAAGCTGATTTCCTTGATTTTTGAACAGCAACTTTCTACATTCTTTGAGCAAGTGCCCGGGCTTCTTGCAGTAATGGCATATTACTCCTCTGCCAAATGGACCCGTAAAAGACATTCTTTTTTTTCTTTTTTTTTGATTTTTTTTTTTGATTTTTTTTTTTACCTTTTTTTTTGAGAATAAATAAATAAATACAGCTAATTAAGACTTACCAGCCGCAGCTCAATAGATGGTTGGCGAGGTCTGGGTTTCTGACTTACCAGCTAATGATAGTGGCGACTCCAAAAATATAACGCAGCCCCTTTCTAATTCGAGCTAGTTCACCTAGTCTCAAATCCCAACCTTTCTCAACAGTCTGCGTCGCCAACCTCAAGAAGACCGTGGATCCAAAAGCTCGCAGATCGGAAAAATGGATTTGCCTGGCAGAGATGGCGATTTCCGATTAGAAATCCGGTCAGCTATGAAGCTTCACTCGCCGGCGCGTGCGGCAGCCGAGAAAGTCTTCGGCGGCGCGTGTGACTGACGCGCGAAGCTTTGCCGGTGCGGACTCCAAAGACGTGGTCGGCGGCGGCAAGTGCAATTGGTTAGGACGGAGGTGAGAAATAGGACGGTGTTGGTCTGGACAGAGGTTCTGTTTAATGGTGTGTAGAGGTTCTGTAGGCAGAATGGTGTGTAAGGTTCTGAAAATGGTGTGTAAGGTTCTGAAGTTAACTCAAGTTCTTGGAGAAAGAACCCAGCCTGAATACTGAACTGAAGTCAGCCTGAATAAAGAACTGAAATCTGAAAAACTAAACTGAAATGGAAGGCTCTGATACCATGTTGAAATATAAACTACAAAATATAATATTGAAGAGAGGAGGAAAGATTTTCTGTGTATTTCATTGGAGGGTTAAGTCCCTATAAATATACATTACAAAGATAGAATATTCCTATAAGATTCTATACAATAATAATATCCTAGAGTATATTCCTAAAATATTCTAAAGTATATTCTAAGGATAGAAGAATATTCTAAAGTATATTCTAAAGTATATTCTAATGTCTTTCACACTAGGTTTAATATTATTTTGGATACCAAAACTACATTTAAGGTTAGTATTTAAGAGTTCATCTGTTCGTCCAAAAAGGGTAGTATTTTAGACGAATTAGATGCCCCTATGCCTTGCATAATAATCTCTTACTATGACCATAAACATCTAAAAAAACAGTTTGTAGCCTCTTTGATGAAAAACATTAAAAATGAGTTTGTGTTCACTTACCCTATATTATGGCATTATGCATGGGAGAAATCATAAACAGTCTCAGAGTAGGTCTAGATATTGTTGCAGTAGATCAGCCCACCTTTAATTTAGTTCGTTATGTGTATAAACTTCTCTTTTTGCAACATCGTGTTGTGGTTTAGCATGCCTAACTAATTTTTTTCTGTTGCAGCAAGCTTAAAGAAGAGAGAACAAGTACTTGATGACTCATGCTCATCTAAGGTCAGGGTGATTGACAGCGCCATAAGATATTTTACTCATCTTGATGTATTTTGTTATTGCAAAATGCATGTCTTAACAGTGGCTTATTTTTCAATATGATGTTGTTGTTTTTATGCTATTAGCTTATGATTATGATTTAGATTCATTCTGTAAAGCATTCAATTAGAGATTTGGTGCCATAGAACTACTTGGAGTTGAAGACATTGAAGCTTTGTGAAAATATCTTTTTTATGAACTAAAGAGTCAAGATATGTGCTAAATGATTTGGAAATATTTGGAATATGTGCTAATGTTATTGTGAGGCTTCTGAAAGATTTGGATATGTCATCATCATTAACCCAGTGCCGCAAAGTCCCACCTACAGTAGGGTAATGGGGGATATGTATTTTCCTTAATTCTTTAGTATTAAAATATTTAGACTACTTTGTAAATGCCCTGGAACATCATTTTTGCAAATTATGTATCACTATGTTTCTACAAAAGAATTATCCCCCCCCCTCCCGTATGGGTCATGTGGAGGGGTTCTTTCGGTTAGTAAAAATAAACTCAAAAAGTCCAGACTCCAGAGCAGGTGAAATTTGGTCAACATAATGGCTTGCACACAGATCCCTTTGGTGCACCAGGTTGAGTTGCTGCTGAATGACAGAGAGATCATGGGCTTGTCTTGTAAAAAAAATTGACAAGGGAAGGCTTGGCCCCCAATACACCCTTATGGTGGGTGCCTTCTCTGGACCTCGCCTTGCGGAGATGTCAATATGCACTGGACTCCCTTTTTTTATAATGATTTGCACTTATTAGCAAGTCAACAGATTGTGGAGTATTGTTTTTTATTGACTCTAATACAAGTTTGTAAATAGCTGCTGGTCTTAACAATATTGTGTTTTCTGTTCAGGTCAGTCGCAGAACTAGGAGACGCAAGGTGAATTAGTTTTCAACAGAGAAAAATAGGGGCATCAAGCTATATAGCATCTGGCAAAGATGAAAGAGTTCGCGTAGCCACTGCACAATTTTCCGTTTTAGCAGCATCTGCACTGGGTAACTTTGGGGGTACGGTACACCACCCCTTGGGGTACATGTGAATCTTGTCCTGAATCAAGCCATGTTGATTATTTAGTTGGAACACTTAGCATTATTAGGGGGCTAGTGGCACACTAATTTCAGCATCACACCATGGTAATGCTTTGCGCAAGCAAGTCTTTTAGACATTAAACAGAAAGCATTTTTATATGCTAAAGAACATTTTGCAAGTCCTGGATTTTTTTCTAAGCACATGGTACGAACTATTATGATGGTCCTTTAGCCCAGCAGACTATAATAATGACTTAATGAGGTGTGTGAGTATGTGAGATGATTCGCTCAGGCCAATTTAGTTTCCCATGTTCATTGCACATAAATAGCTCATAGGTTGGTGGTTGGAGAAGATTATAGCTCCATTTCGATGGCACTACTTATGGTAGTAGACAATGGTCATATGGAACAAATTCCATATGGTTTAAATCTAGATTCATGGTTGTCCATACGAAACAAAGTCCCTATGGTTCGAAATATTACAAGTTTACCTGATGAAGTGGTTGAAACAAAGTCCATACGAAACAAAGCCATTCAGTAACACTGAAATTGGTTGAATCTGTTGAAACTGATGAAGTGGTTTAAGCGATTAAATTGATTGAATTTGTTTAATTATAGAAAAACTAAAAAATTAAAATACATTTTATTAAGAAAATAAAAAAATTATATGAAAAATAGTTAAAACGATCATCTATATTCTACAATAACTTTCAATTAATTTGGTCAGAAAAGTAATTTCAATTTTACTTATTTTGATTATTATATTATCCAATGTGTGAAATAAAAAATAACATGTTTGGTAAAAAAATTGTTTGATACGCCCGATAAGTCGAAAAATCTAATCACTAGACTGACCTTTTTTTTCATTTTCCATTTAGGGATAGACAATGTTGTATATGTCTTTAGAGACATGGGGGGTAAGGCGGTAACTTGGCATGTCAATGGGTCGAGTCCGGGTCGGAACATAGTGTTCCAGACCCAAACCCGCTAAGTCCATACAGGACTCGGACCTGACCCTTATACCTGGCGGGTCTGAAAATTTGGGCCCAGACCCAACAGATCTCGGAACAGATTTGAGTAGACCTGCCAAGTATGATATGCACCGAATTATAAACTTTGTGAAAGTAACAAGACATGTTTATGAAATGTAAAGCAAATGTGCAAACTTAAAAGCAAAATATATTTTCACTTAGAAAAACAATGTTTCTCATAGAAAATTAGTACGTTTATCCAATAAAGTAGCAATTCTTGTAGATGTGTATAAGTCCCCACTCTGTGTCTCTTTCTCTCACACACAAAGCTCGTACAATAGACTATTAATTAGGTAACGAAAAGGTCTCTTGGACTACTGAGAGTACAAAAACATAGTTTATATGATAATGATGTAATAGTATTAATAATAACACATATTGGGCTTTGTCTACTGAACCCTGAACATGCTTTATCAATATGTATAAAGTGCAAAAATGGCTATTATTTTTAGGGTATCTCACTATCTCGATTAGTATCATTTATACCGTAGGTATGTATTAGTATGTATTTTTTTAATTGAAGAAATACAACCAATAAGCTTATATAATAGTGTGTGTGTATTGGATTTTTTTTATTTGAAGTATTATAACTAATACTGATATGTATTAGTGTGTGTACTCATACAGTCATACCCGTTAAAAATAACCGGATTCGGGTCGGGTTCAAGCCTAGACCTGACCCATTTACAAGTCTAGCGGTAACACTCGATTTCAATCCTAAAGTTTTGATCTACTTGTAAATGTGGTTGTGAACCATCTCCAAACTAAACATGGTCCAGACTCGAGATTTATATCTCCGGTTCTGGCCTTCTGGGCATGATTCTTACAATTCAGGAATCACAATCGAACAGTGTTCAATTAATATAGTGATGTGTATAGTCCCAAACCATGACTAGGCACCCATGTTTACAATCTTGGTTTTTTTATCTACCTCTAAGGCCACTTTGGAGTTTGAACCCTCCACAAGTCCAGAACCAGAACCCTATATAATGAGAGCTATCTGTGAGCTTAGGTGGTCGGCGGTAGATTGATAAAATAATAATTATTTAGAACCACATAAATTTGATATAATCTTAGAATGGGTTAGGTTATGAAAATTACTCCGTACTAATTAAAAAGATTTGGACAAATATAGGACCTTTTTCAATAATTGCCAAAAAAAGAGACATCCCTATGATTAAGTAGCAAGTTTGGGATGAAATTATCTATTATGCCCCTGCTTATTTAATTAATAAGGAGTATGCAACAAACTAATAACATGCCTACGCAAGCCACACAAAAATTGATTTTTATATCCAATGCAAATCTAATAACATGCCTACGCAAGCCACACAAAAATTGATTTTTATATCCAATCCCTATTTGCAAGTAATGGCATCACTGTGACACTCCCAAGGATGAAATAACAAGTTCGAATCCCATCCGACCGGTTACGATTATCCATCCGGTCAGTTATAGCCTTATAGCGTTACCCGTCCAATCCGGTTACTCATATTACATTTAAGTTCCACTCGTGTTTATATTCCTATTTAATGAAAAATTACACGTTTAGCACTTATTTGAACACAGCTCCCTTAGTAATTAACACACAAACAAATTCAATAACGATGTTACTAATACATTAATGATGAACATAGCTATGGCCAAACACCTGGAGCTATTTAGGACATGCAGTGAAATGAGATCACTAGTAGTAAGTAGGTTCATTCCCTACCACATTTCACAGCTTATTGACATAAATACATAGTGACCAGAACAAGTCACTGCACAAGTTTTAGGAAGCAAGTCTCTCTTCTTGCATTAGTCTTTTATGCTTTTAAAGATTGAACATGACCTTTATGGCATTGCCACCACGCGCACTGGTTGCAAATGCTTCTTCGAGTTCCTCTTGAGAGAACTTATATCTGTGTGTGACGAGGGGTTTCACGTCGATCTTCCCACTCTTCATCAAATCTATGCAAAGAGGCCATGTATTCTTGTAGCGGAAAATCCCGATCACATCAACCTCCCTGAACACCACCATTTGAACGAGAATATATATCACAAAACGATAAGAAAACAAATCATTGTCACTACACCGTAAAAGTCACATTTTTGTCCATTGCTTTTGTATTAGTCACACATTTGTCATTACTTACTAAAAAGGAATCTGGTGTAATAGTAATAGTGATAGTAATCGCATCATGTTTACTGACCTTGCGGAGGTTGTGGCGAGAGGGAGGGTCATGTACTCATGACCCATGCCGACAAGGCAAACGCTGCCACCAGAACGAGTTGCACCAAGTGCGGTTGTCATTGTTTTATCAAAGCCTGCACAATCAAAGCTCACGTCTATTCCATCCCCCATAGCCTCTTTAATCTTCTCTATTTCGGCAGCCGCATCCTGATCAAGTCATCCAACCCTATTAGATATGCCTTGAGCCTTACTAATATATAATGGACTTAGTAATGGCATCAAACTCAGCCATCATGTATCAACTGAACTACTTTACTGGAACAATTAGATGATAACTAGATTTACAAGTATAACAATTCCAATATGGCAATGGTAGTATGTTTGTTTAATAAACATACCCCCACCTCCTAAAAGTGTTTTGAAAAAAGGACAGCTAATTAGATAGAAGCAGATACCTGGATATTGGTTGAGACCTTGATGGCCGCGTCTGCTCCAAGATCCATTGCAACAGAAAGACGGGCCTGATCGACATCAGCGACAACGATTCTCGGGGCACCAAAAGCACGCGCTGCCAGCATGGCGATGAGACCTATAGGTCCCGCTCCCATAACCAGCACTCTCGTCTCTGGACCAATGTTTGCTCGACGGCACGCATGAACACCGACACTTAGAGGTTCACACATTGCCCCTTCCTCCATACTCAATTCATCCGGTAATTTGAAGCATAAATCAGCAGGATGCACAATCTGATTGAAAATACAAAAACCATTGGGTTTGAAAATAAATTTAAAAAAGGGTGGAATCTGGGACTGGATTGGGATTGTTCAATTCGATCATAAGACATTGGGTCAAACCACATTAACAGATTTAATCTAATCAATTTACAAGTTCAATTCAAAGTCTTATTAGTACATTTTACTTTCATTTTAGCATTGTGGGATTGACAAAAAACAATGCTCCTTCCATATTCATCAAATTAAATACGTTTTGAAGTTATGATCTACCTGATTGGCTAGAGATCCATGGACAGGAGGGGTAGCAAAAAACTTCATCTCGGGGCACAAATTGTATCTTCCGTCTTTGCATAGTTTACATCGCCAGCAACTGATTCCGGGTTCTAAAGCCACACGGTCACCGGGAACTAGTGTCCGGACTTCACTCCCCACCTCTTCTATCACTCCAGCACACTCATGCCCGATCACCATCGGTTCTTTCACAATAAAACTAGCACATTTCATATGCTACATTGAAATTCATACAAAAATGACACTTATTAAGGCATGCACATAGATCAAATAAAAAAAATATAACCCTACTTATAGAGATAGTTACACGTTCAATTAGATTACTCTTTTAGAATGGAAATTCATGTTTAAAGATTGGTCTGCTTCGATGAACCCGGACAAAAAAGCTATCTTGGTCCTATATTCTAAGAGCTTACTTAGGGAGTGTTGGCAACAGATTTAAAAATATTTTTTCCAGCTTCTGTCTTAAAAAAGCTAAAATGAGTGCTTTCAAATGACAAATTCTACTTAAAGTAAGCATTTAAAAGTTAAAACGCTACGCGGAAGCAGATTTTCACTTTTTGAGAGATGCTTTAAAATGTTTTTCACTTTTTCTATTACATAAATCACTTATTTTATCAAACATTACCTTAAACACTTAATCTACTACTTTTTCACAAACACTATAACCTTATAACCTTTAACTGTTCAACACTTTCTCTAAAATCAAACACATTCTCTAAAATCACTTCAAAAAATCATTTTTGAAAGTATAAGCAATCAATAATTCCAACTCACAAGGATCAATTATACCAAAAGTATAAGCAAACACTCACTTAATCAAGCACATAGTATAAGGTATGTTTACCTTAAGGTAGTGAACATCACTTCCACAAATGCCAACAGCTTTCATCCTAACCTTAACATCATGGGGTCCTGGCAATTTCCAGAATAATCAGAAACATGTGATTATAGATAGCGCTGGATTAATCATAAAATTAGAATCAACCCCAGATAAAGAACCAAGAGGTGAATGATATAAAGATTTACC